ACCGCCTTCCAATTGCTGTTGAGCTTCCTTATCTAACAATTCCTCTAGCATCTGCTCTTGTACAATACTCGGCAGATCTTCAACCTAAAAATATATATCTATTTCAAATATAAACATACACGTGTGTGTGGTGTGTGTGTGTGTGTGTGTGTGTGTGTGTGTGTGTGTGTGTGTGCGCGCGCGCGCGCGCGCGCGCGTGTGTTGTATACATATATATTCTTTATATATAATCACTTTTCAGCGAGTTATTATTTCAAATAGAAATTAAATTTGAGCAAGTTCAAACATTATTTATTATTTAAAAATATTTACTTTAAGGAATTAAAACATTTACTTTTCATCTAATTTATATTAAAATGTATGTACATATTAAATTGTAATATATGTCATAGTAACCTCGGCTGGCAATGCGAAGGTTGCCATATCGGTAACGAAATAACAGGGGAATGAGCCCTTGCGTAAGCGTATACTGTTAGTGACATGTCGGCGAATCTGTACTGCAAGATCAGGTGCGACGTAACTTGGTACTCTTTTCACCCCTGAACCTGAACCTTCAATTTGCGACAGCAATGTTGCTAAAATATCTTCCCTTTGAAACCTGTAGAAAAATCCCAATTAAAATATTAATTTATTAATGTTAAGAATCGTATTTTATAGTATCGGTTTATGGAAGTATTTATCTAAATTATTTATGTTTACCTAATAGCCAAGTGCACCAAAGTGTGCCCAACGTCAAACGCGCTGCTTCTATTGAGGAGCAAGACCTCAGAATGCGTCAATTGGCGGGCAGGATCGCCACCGCTTGCCAGGTAAGCTTCAACAGGAGTATTGTCACCCTCTACAATACCAAGACAAGCGTTTAACCAACACCAATCAGTGTGGCGTCTTAACTGCTTCAATCGACGTTCATAATCACAGTTATTGGGAGATTGAGGAGTTGACAAACTATCATTTCGGCTCTCTGCATACCTATGTGGGCCTCTGAAAAGTTAAATATAAGTTATATATAAATGAATTAAATTTATTAACAGAAGAATATTATATTCTTCTGATAATATAATATTATAATATAATATTATAATGTAATATTATAATAACGCATATTTGAAACTTACTCAAGAAAATATAGTCAGAAATTATGTGTACTTAAAATAAAATATTGAACTTGATATCATTAATCTTTAAATATATTTCTTCTAAATAAAATTTGTATATTTTCTCTGCAGTGAAATATAAAATATTGATTTAATCACCTCCTTCCTATCGCTAAATTATCCTCTCTTTGTGTCTGATGAATATAGGGTGCATGTGGGGGCGATGGTAAACCTCGTTGACTATGTTCTCTTTCGGGACTCGGTAAAATCACTCCTACATTTCCGTATGTCCCCTTATCCCTTCTATCCTTCTCCTTCGGTTGACCGCACATCACGCATTTAGTTGCCTTGGGCCAGTTCTCGTAAGTACATACATGACAGGACCATTTTTCTGGATGCATATTGTACAATCTTTCCGGATGGAGATTAATTGGCGAGGGATTCAATTGAGAATTCGATCCCGAGTTTGGTGGTCCATCGGCCAATCGCAGTGGTGCTAAATGTTCATGTAGATTCGATGCTAATGAATTGACAGACTGATTAACCGGTTTCCGGTTGCTACACTGTACGCACCGCGTTGTATTTTGATAATTAAGATAAGTGCACATGCTGCAAGCCCACTTTCCCGCCGAAGGCAGATTCTGGCTATAATTTTGCGAGGTGAAATTATCCGTAGGGCTTATCTGGGATACTGGACCGGAAGCGACGTTGGAGGAACCTCTTTGAGGGCTAGGATCTCGAAGACGATAAATATCTTCGCCCAGGAGAGGCTTGGCACCTCTGCACATGGTACATTTTAAAGAAGAGGGCCAATTCTCATAAGTGCAGTATTCGCAAGTCCATTTCTGCTCTGTTTCCTCGAGTCTGCTGGTCATCTTCAATGGATGGAGAAATTAATTGATGGAGCTTTTGGTCTCGTTGTTGCGAGGGATGCAATATTTCTCGATGCGGAAGAAAAGTTGAAAGATGACGTTGAAATGTGCACTAGACATTAAATATTTTTCTAAATATCCTAGTTGAATTTTCTATGCTGCGCAGCGCAGTCTATTTGAGACCAAATAGGAGATTTGTGACCAAGTATGGTTTATAGCCCAGTATACGCTATGTGATTAGCATTATGATTGATTGTAATTAAATAAAGCTATTAGAGATGTGCCAATGTAGACATTGGTGGAAGAACCTGAAAAAAATATTAATATTTATATTAAACATATTGTAAAAAATATAAATGAAGACATATATATATATATATATATATATATATATATATGTATGTGTATGACATAATAAAATGTTTTATATTATTGTTCCTATAACTAAAAGCAATGGATGCTGTCTATTTGGTAATAAAAGTCGACACAAGTAAATTTTGTCTTTATTATTCATGGAATCAAGAAAGAATGTTTGTGTCGACTTATACTACTTCTTGCATTTTCAAAATGAGATAAATATATTATCTAAGTATGTAAAAGAAAAGTTAAATAGATATTGGAAGAACTAAAGTTTTTTTCTTAAAGTTAAAGATATTAAAAAAGAACTAAAATTACATGAGAATAAAAGATGAAAAATCTTATAGAAAATGTGAAAAAGAATAAATTTTAAAGTAAGATATCTTTATGAAGAGAAAGAAAAAGCAAAGTGAAGGAAAAAACATCCACTAATAAGTTATGTTTTTTGTAATTGTTAATTGCACTTTATCTCTTTCTTCTTTCTCTTTTTTTCTTCTTTTAGTCTATGTCTTACTTTAAAATGTAGAAAACACAAAAAAAGCACAATTGAAATGAAAACATTTAAATGTACATGCATATATATATATATATATATACAAAATTAAAATATACAAAGTACAAAGTAAAAGGACAGACATTCGGAATATTTAAAGTTGAATATTCAAATGCAAAAGAGTAAGTTTGATCTTTTTAATCACATTTTTGCACGTGACTTTTTGTTAGAAACATAATCATTATACAAGTGGTTGTACGATTGTTTCTAATGACTTTGAAAGCAGGTACATATACGCACTTTGAATATTCAAAATTGGAATGCTTGCGTCGCTCTTTCTACCCAAATTTCGCGAAGTTGGTGAACACTGAACACGCAGAACCGCGTGACCGATCTCCCATAATATCTTCTTCGCGTCCCCTAGAAACCTAACCTGGCGGAATGAGAAGCGAGTTCTCCCATCAACAAGTCTCTCGACGAGCGTGAGAAATAACAAAAATTTAGGAGATCGAGCAGCTAGTGTTATTTTTTGGACGGTCAAAAGGCGCGCAACTATCTCTAAGCAGTTAAACTGGTAACCTTGGCGTTATATCCCGTGCCACCTTGTGGAGCTTCGCACGTTGCCAGCTACCATCACACTCGACTATCCTCCATAAGAGATTTTTCAGATCGGCACCGTCCAGTCGACTCATGTACTATTCATGCACCAGCGAGCGCGCAGTTTTCATAGCGCACAGCTCGCATCAGCTCGCATTCGCGGGAACGGACAGGTAGGTTAAGCTCGGTCACTCGCACGCACACGTACGTGCTTGTACACGCGCACGATCAATCTCGCGAGCGCCCTTTCTTCCTTCGGGATTATCCGACGACGACGACAACGACGACGACGACGACGACGACTGACGACGACGACGAGAACGAAGACGAGGAATCGGAACGCGGGACACGAGCAAAGAGAAAGACAACGGTAGCGATGTCTCCCTCCTTCTTTTTCTCTCTTTTCCCCTTTTTCTCTCTCTCTCTCTCTCTCTCTCTCTCTCGTCTTGAAGACACGGTAGAAGACAGGAGAAGCGCGAGTCGCTGTCACCGCTGGTCACCGCGTCACGACATCGTCTGCGAGCATTCGCGCGCGCTCCACAGCGTGCTGCTCTGCCTGTCACCCGATGCTGGCGAACTGCTCCGCAAATACGACAGCGGCGGTGACGACGACGACGGCGATCTCGCTCGCTGGCCGCGGAAGTAGGTTTTGACAGTCATCCGCAAACAGACGGGTACCAGTACTGCCAACCACTCGCGCTCCTCAGTTCTCGTCCCCTTCACGCCGTAGCGTACCGTTACGTCACGGAAGCATGCGCGCGTGCGCATGCCGCGTACAACGCTTGAAATAACGCGCAATCGCGGCTAACCTCAAATTTTCACTAACCTCCAATTTTGCGTTCCATCTGGGTTCTGCGGCAATGAAGTCGCCAATGGATCGCCAGTCTTTCGTTAGGAATGTAATTTCAATGACTTCAACAGTCAGCTCGATCACTGGAGCTGGATCCTAGTCCCCTTGTCAGGAACATGCAAGGTTAACCTAATCTAACTTCAGTTTTCGCCGATCATCTCGCCGTGTTTACGCTTTTTTTCTCTCTTTACGAAGATAAATTCGCGATAATCTGGTCAGGACAAATCAAATGTCGAGTACGATCGAAAAGTTTCTTATTGATACATATGATTGGCAGAAAACCTAACTTAACATTAAAACTCCGCGTGTTCGTCGCGAGACGCGATCAAAGTTTATCGATAAACAGTGATAATCTCGTTGGGAAAATAAAATCCACAGATTTTGCTTTATCCTGGATCACATGAATGACGTCAGTGTTCACAGCTGAGTTTGTTGATCCCGTTACATCATACAAGGCTGACCTAACCTCAAATTGTATGCGACTACAAGTATAGTCGTATCTTTTCCGCAGAATTGAAACCATTAAAAAATGTTCAAGAGACATCTTCTCGCTTTTGACATCCTGAACAGTGCACCACGAAACTTCTAATAAAAGAACAAGCAACACCTGATTCGAGTTTTTGCACGTATCCTGATGATTTAACTCTGATCCACATGAACAATGCATGCGAATAGAATTTGCTCGTTCACCTTTGGATTTGTACGACTTTCGTTCTATTCGACTACTTTTTGCAATAAGTTTTGAAACTGAATCTGAATTTTTCCTCGAAAAATGAGAAAGATCGCATTGGCGTGATCGATCATTTGCGAGGTTATTTTTTATTTATAAATATCTCGGATCCATTGCCAATTGGGACCACTTAACATCATTTCTCCTTGACATTTCATTGACGACATCACGAGATTGTTTCAAACCTGTCGGTTAACTATTGCAAATGTCACAGGTTTTTCTACGTTGTTCCAATATATAAATTTGTTATTATATCCATAGGTCTTTACTTTACAGCATTTAAAGCGAGTCTACTTATTATAAATGCTCTGATTTTCTACATTTTAGATCTATATTAAAATAACAATCATAGAAAATTAATGAAACATAGGAAATACAACTAATGTATGTGATGAATATAAGCATCTGTTCTATTTTATAGAGTTTTTAATTGACACAATTGGAGGATTTGATTTGAGTTGAAGGAGTGATTAAATCTTAAAGAATTCATTTTCAACTGAACACAATTAATTTGGATATTATAATAAGTTACAACTAAGACGCTAATCTGACTTTCAAATAAATTGAAGAAGCAACATTACATTTTATTTTCGATGCCAGAATCATGTTTTATTTTAAACATGCAAAGTATAACTCAGCACAGCTAAAAAGAACATACTTTATGTCATCTGCTCATGATAACGTCATCATCCGAATCAATAAAACTACTAAGATACTTCAGTAATATTGACTGCCTCTCATCGCCGAAAAACTTATTCAATTACGTGAAAGAATCACAATGACGAAAATGGATGAAATGGTGATACGGGTGTTATACGGAAGCGAGACCGGAACCGCTCAAGATGTTGCCGAACAAATTTGGAAGAGCGCCAAAAGGTTTGTTGTTGTTCCTCTTTGGCACATAAACCTCTGAGAACATTTCTGGCACGCGAACCCCATGTCTTTAAATGATGTTTTAACAGATGTGATTTACTTTTATCCTTAATGTCGGTTATTTTTCTTATATAATTAGTTTCATTTTATATATTATATATATATATATACTTGTATATATATATATATATTTTTTTTTTTTCTATCTAACATTATTTTTAAAGACGAAATTAACAGCGAAGATTCATCAAGTATCATTTTTCTTTTTGGCACATTTATGTTATTCAAAATAATTTACAATTTTACACACACACACACACACACACACACATTCACACAAAGAAATAAATAAATAAAACAGAAATGAATACAGAGAAAAAAAAATATTTCACTTTTTATACATATGAAATTTATTTTAAGTCATTTAATTGTATAATTAAATGATATTTTATTTTGATTATTTACACCGTATATGAATAAAGTTTCCTTATGAATTTATTTTATTTCTTTCTATTTTATTTCTTTATGTAAAAAATAGAAAAAAATATTTTAAAGTTTAAAACATGTATAACATTCCAATTTTAAACTGGAAGTATATAATGTATGTTTTTAATGTTACAGGAAAGGATTGCGAAGCATAGTATCATCTCTGAATGACTATGACATTCAAAATCTCCCTTTCGAACAATTGATTATCTTTGTTGTCGCAACGACTGGACAAGGAGACCCTCCAGCCAACATGAAACAATTCTGGAGACATCTGTTACGCAAGACTCTCCCAACAACCATGCTCCAAAATCTGAAATATAGCGTACTTGGATTGGGCGATAGTTCTTATACAAAATTCAATTTTGCTGCGAAGAAATTAAATAAACGTCTCGTGCAATTAGGTGGCGAAGAATTATTACCCATTGGACTTGCCGATGATCAGCATAATTTGGGAATTGATGCTGTGATCGATCCTTGGATCAAAAAATTGTGGGAAGAAATTGCAAATGTTTTCAAAATTTCTGTAGAGGACAAAATAAACAAAGAAGATTTGATAATTGAGAGATATAGTATTTCAATAATAGAAATGAATCAATCAAATCCGATACGTATTGACGAACAGTTATTAGACATTCCATATCATTTAAATACTGATATCTATGCACAAGAAACATTCATCAATAGCGACGTCAGAATAGGAACGATAGTTGAAAATATAAGAACTACTTCCCAAGATCACTTTCAAGATGTTAGATTGATAACAATCGAAGCGAATAATATTAATTACGACCCTGGAGACGTTATCTACATTAGACCGAAGAATACGACAGAACAAGTAAAACGGTTTTTTGATATACTACACGAACACGATATAAAACTGTTTCCAGATACAATAATTCAAGTATCGGAGAAAGAGATAAAGGTTCCATTTATTTTAAAACAAAATTTAACTTTAGGAGAAATTGTTGAACAATATTGGGATCTGAATTTCAAGCCACGAAGATCTACCATGCATACTTTATCTCTTATCAGCGAAAATGAATTGGAGAAAGAAAAACTATGTGAATTTGCCAGTCCAATTGGCCAAGAAGAGCTTTATGATTATATAAACAGGCCAAGAAGAAATGTTTTGGAGGTCCTTACAGATTTCCCTCACACGACCAGTAAATTAAACATTACATTATTGTTTGAAATCATGTCACCCATAAAGCCACGTCCTTATAGCATTGCCTCCAGTTTAGAAGATACTCCAAATAGAATACAAGTTCTAGTAGCAATAGTTAAATTTAAGACTAGATTGGTGGAACCGAGATTTGGGTTATGTTCAAAGTGGTTGGCAAGTTTAAATAATAATGATAAAGTGATATTTTGGCTGCAGAAAGGCACTTTTCGATTTGATAATAATAAGCCGATGATTTTGATTGGTCCTGGAACTGGAGTGGCTCCATTTAGAGCTTTGCTTTTAGAGAAAGTGAAAAAAGGAAAAGATTTAAAAGAATGTATCCTATTTTTTGGATGTAGAAATGAAAGTAAGGATTATCACTGTAGAGAAGATTTTGAACGATTATCAAGAAAAAATAATCTGAAAGTATTTTGCGCATTTTCCAGAGATCAGCATCACAAAATGTAAATCATTAAAATAAGTTGTTCTTCAAATTATTTTTATTATTTCACAAATACAAAATAAATTTAAAGATAATTATTATTATATAAGATAGAATTTATTTTGAAATTAATTATAAAAAGATTGTAAAATAAATGAATCAAATCCTAACTTTCTTAATTATGCTTTCAATATTTTTTCAGATATGTCCAACATCTTATCCGCCAACAAAGAGAGCTGTGCTGGCAGTTTTTAGAAAATAATGGTAGTATTTATTTAGCAGGAAATTCTAAAAATATGCCAGATAATGTGCGTGACGAATTCGTTAGTTTAACAAAAGAAATTGGAAAAATGACAAAGGAACAAGCAGAAACATTTATTAAACATTTGGAGAAGAACAATCATTATCAAACGGAAACTTGGGGTTGACGAAAAAATTGTTGAGATTTGAGAAAAATATCTAATAGGCAAAAATGTCATTTTGTACAAAAAGTGTATGTATATATATATATATATATATATATATATATATATATATAATGTATTTATGTGATAAAAATATATATTGTCTATATTTCACATAGAAGCATACACATATAAATGTTTTTAAGTAATAATAATTACTTTTTAAATTGTATATATTACTTAATACATTATTACATTATTATACATTATAATGTTTATTAACTATGTATATTACTGTCATTTTCTTATCTATTAATGGGACTTTTAACAACTATCATTATAAAATTATACTACTACAACTAGAATAATTAAACAAGTTTCGTCCCAGATTCGATATTTATATAACAGAAATTTAATTAATTAGATCAAAATAGACGCACTGCTGCTTACGTTGCAATTACATAACATTTTTTTATAGTGTCGTTTATCGTTTTATCTTCATCCTTTTACTACGTTATTTAAATATTCGAGGTCATCTTGTATGTAATTATTAGGTCTATTCACACAGTCACGTTTATATAAAGAAATCAATCGCTAGTCTAAAGCAAACGAATCATAGTGCCGTGTTTTCTATATTGCACACGTGATTGGTTGATTTCTCTGCGTACATACAAAATCTGTGCTGTCAGATTAGCAGACCTATTCTGTAACTCTTAAATTTTGTTATCATTATAATGATAAAAAAGTTACAGCGTTATAATAATAACGAAACTTGCGCTAAATTACAGAATAGACCTGTGGGATGACCGCTCTCAAGTCGCTTTCTCCAGCTCTGATGCTGCATTGCAAACCCGTTTGAATAGAGCTTTAAGAAACGATTATGACGAAAACGATAATTACGAGTCTCATAATAATCTCTCAATGTTACTCGATGTGTCATTTTTCGTTTAGTATAATTTTACTACATTCGGAATAAAAAAGATCGAACTCTAAAGAAGGGAAAAAAAACACAAGGGATAAGAAAAACGTAGCTGAAACTGCGATACAGGCGTGAACAGGTAAAACGTCATGCTTCATTGAGCATGATTTATCGCGTATGATTATTAATATCAGCAGTCACATTGTCGCTCCTACTACGAGTTTCAACTTCCATTCTCGAGCAATCGTCGATCAGCGAATGATGATCAGCGGCCGTTGCAACTCGCGTGTTGCACAAGAACGTGAGTGTGAGTATCCGTTTTCGTCTCTTTTCGTCGCATTACGATCGAAACGAACGGACTCGTCGTGGATGCGCGCTATTTTTACGCCTTCTTTTCGAACGTCGCACCTCGTGGACACTCGACGCTCCTCGGCCCTCTTCGGCGCTCTTCGGTGCTCTTCGGCGGCATGCCGCGCCGCATATCTCGATGAACTCGTAACCCCCCGCGATCTAACCTAGCGGAGTGCCGCGCAGTACGGAAACATGGTACTACCGCTCGCGTGTTTCCGTCCCGTAGTGTTGTTCTCCGTATCTCGAACGATCTCAACATTCTCAACTCGACTCTGTCGCTGACTATACACCTTTTTTTTCCACTCTCCCTCTCCTCTTGCAAAGTGTGCGACAAGCAAACAAAACACACGAATCGAACCGTCGACTGATGGACATTGGCACGTGATTCTTTTTTTCATCACGCACCCATCCTTCGGGCGATCCATTAACGTCAATCGCCGGTAATAAGCTTAGCTTAGCGAATCATTCTCTGGTTATCTCCGGTAGTCGAACTCGAGATGGCAAAAAAATAGGGTCGCCGGTGTTAAGGTCTGTCTCTTATCTTTCTCATCGGCTGCACTCTCCTGCACTACCATTAACCTGCTCTTCGACGAAATGCACACAAAATACGTCCGATTTATCATGAAATCTGGAATAATGTAGAGAAGAGAATATATATATTTATCACGCATACATATAATATTTTGCCTGCTTAACTTACATTGAATTAATACGAGGTATATTTAATTCCTCTACTGTGATGTTAAATATCTAGGTCACTGTGTATCGAAGAGAAGATATTTTATTTTTTTATCAATTTGCAATATAATTTTTATGATATTGTTAATCTAATTTTTATTTTATGATTTTTAGAATTATTACATCGAATGTATTCAGATTTATTTATTAAACTAAATTATACTTATTAAAATTATTTACTAAATTATTAAAATTATGTAAAATATTAATATTTATAGTTTGCTTAAAATATTGCGAAAATACTTCTCATAATTTAAATTTATTTACTGTTTTATATGTATAAAAGATAGATTTTACTGTATATATACCCTTTAAATAATATTTAAATTTTAAAAAATTACATTGGATATCATACATTTCATATATTCTTTATGGCTGGGGGGGGTTAAGTAATATTTTAAGATGCTAATGTGGTTTTCTGATTAGTTTATGATTTTTTAAGACTATATTTAAAAGCATTAAATATAAGAATCAACTATATATTGATCTGTGATTGATTTATGACATCTTAAATTTATACTTACAATTAGATAATCTTAAATATAAGAATTAACTATAAGTACCATCTTATGATTAGTTTACGTACAAATTTTTTTATATAAAACTATTTCAAATTTATTTTAATATTTTTGCACACAAAAGCGATAAACTTTCAAAGATTTTATCAAAATTCCATGCAATATCATCAGTACATCACAACTGAAAATAAATATTATTTTTCAGACAAGGACAAATCAGATAGCAAAGTGTAGAAAGTTCTAATGGAATTACACTTTTTCTGGACCAGTTGTCGAGAGATGTATTAAAGTTGTTGCAGTTATTATTGAAGTACATCATCAAAGTCAATAGTGTTTAAAGAATTTTCTTTCGTAACAAAAAAATTAACAAAAAGAGAAAAATGGCAGGCACTTACACGAAGAAAGAATTTGGTGTGGGGCCTGAGGAACAGACTCTTCTGAAAGACTCCAATGGGACCCGCATCATACCTTCCAAAGGTAATGGGGCCGTGATACGTCTGTCGCATCCGCTATCATGGCTACAAGGGAATGCAGCTTTCTTGGAATGGTTTTCTTGTGGTTTTATTTTCCCACCATACAGCTGCCCAAACCAGTCTGCAGAAGAGGCTTTTATGCTGTGGACTTAGCATCCTTGGCATTGACAGTGAAGTATTTGTGGATTTAACATTGGTTCGTAGCTTGTTGAGCTTGATAGAAACAAAATATATCTTAATAATTTTAATCTGATAATTTTATAAAGTAAGCAAACTGAACAGACTGGTTTGATTAAAATTAGTAATGTATGATTTTTGTGCTACATAATATTTACAATTTAAGATAATTCAGTGAAGTTTAAATTGATTCTAAATTGATCTTAGAGAGAAATTTAAATAAATTTGAAATAATTTAATCTATGGAATAAAATTATAATTTTTGATATATTATCAACATCCAAATATTTAGATTAATCTTAACATATTGTGAATTGTATTTTATGATTGATAATTATATTAACTATATTACTGAAATAATTTTTTAAACTCAACTCAATTTCAACTCAATTTTAGTGCACTCAAATAAGTTAATTTATATTTAACAATTTAATGAATTGTCTTAATTGTTAACAATTTCCATAGAAATATGTCCATTTTCTTAGATCTCTTTCTTAAAAGCTTTTTTGAGGCATCATTTATTTCATTCATCTCATTCTCTATTATAATTCTGAAGACTGATAAGATATTTTTAAAATACAAGAATCCGCATTCAAACCTCATTTTTATCAATTAATGCGCCTATTTAGCATATAATTCACATATTATTAGGTGTTGGAATTAATTCGTAGCGTTTTTAATGAAAGAATGTTATTTATTTCACATGAGCATTAAAAAATACATTAATGAAAGTACTTCCCATCACTTGTAAAACGCTACGAATTAATTCCAACACCTAATACATATATTAATGAATTTCAGAAATATATAATATATTTTCCAATAAAAGTGAAATATGAATGCGATTTTTTTTATCTTAAAATGTATGCTTATTTGCTTATTTGCTATTTAATTGCTTTGTAACAGATAATAGATCTATTTTTTTATAGACTAGTATATACTTTTTTTACTTAAAGTGAAATAAGTATTTTTTCGAGATTTGAAATCAAGAAGAAAATTCTTAGTGTAATTTATATAATATAGCAATGAAAACTAATCTTATAAGTGCATTTAAAATTGTTAAAATTTTTATTTAATCAAAATGCAGCAAAAATCGATTTATGATCTATTGAAATGTTATAAATAATTAATTATAAAATAATGCAGAAATTTTATATGTATATATAAAATTGCCCATATACTTATTTATGCTAAATTTTATTATATTTACATATTTATTTCTTTATTTATATTTTTTTAATTGTTTACGTATTAT